ATGTGTAATAGGTTGATATTTTTCAACAGCGCAAGTGAGCAATCAAAGATTTGTTCGATTATATGGCCTATCAATTATCCTTAACTTACAAGTTTGTTGACAGAGTAAACAAAGTTTTACTCGAATCTTCACTCATCTACATCGCGCTTACAGGCAGGATCAAAGTTATAGTGACAGTATGGAGTATGAAATTTTAAAATTCACAGTGTTTACAGGGAGTCGCTTATCAGAAATTTACGATGAACATTCCCCCATACCAACAAATGAAGGACAAAACTGGAAATGAAAACTAGAATATAATGAAAGAAGAAATTTCTTTTTATATCATTTCGTAAATATTGAATTTGCATTCATACAACGTTTTTTCATTCACAGATATTCTGACTGCTATGTTGGAATTTTCCTAATTTCATGTAGTGATAACAGCATGTTAGCACAATAAACATCATCGATTCTCACCGTTCACCATAAGAAACGGTCGCTTCCTTTTCGACGTTCGAAAATCATGAAACTACAGATATTGATGTTTGCAAATAATATGCTTTCGTTAAGGTTTCGTCTCGTCGCCTACACGTAAATGACTAAACAAGAATTATTTTGAGCACTCGAACATTACAGATAACTGAGACATATATTAATTAGAAGTTTTGTGCATATTTCATTGTTTGGTTATTAGGTGATATAAATGATAACCATACAACATCAGATCGGTAAATACATTTGATACATTGAAGTCGATAACTAACAAAAACTTACATAAGCCGGTTCCGAACAGCGGAGGATTAAACTCAAAATGCTGCAGATAATTCCAACTGTAACTAATACACAGCTTACTGAAAATAATATTATTCTCAACATTCGTGAAAAACTTTTCATTCTGTCACCCAATATAAAAGCCAAGATCAATTCTACAAATGGTAAAATCGCCACTATGATTGGTTCATACCACCAGCCACATAAAGTCATCAATCCAACACCGATAATCATTAAAATCAACTGAAAATGCAGAACAAAACGTGTTATTGTATTCTGAGTTCGTGATTGAAGAGATTTATATCAAAAAACACTACTACAGAATAACTGGTTAGGCCTTTTTCCTAATTTTGTTTTCATAAAATTGCTGTTTTGTGCATTGTAGTGTATTTTATCTGTTGCACATCCAGGTGTGCCATATAGAAACATAGATATGTTACTTCAATGAATCTACATATTCACTGCATATGTAAATGTAATGTCACCGTTTTCGTATGACGAATATCGCATATCAAAACGATAAAAAATTGAGAGCACCGAGCAACCTTGTCAGCTGGACACAACCTCACTGGAGAGCATCGGATGACAAATCGAACATCGTGGAAACTAAAATTCAACGTATCACAAACTATACAGTAGCAACAGCAATTGAAAACTAGTGAAATTATTTAGGTTTCGTGCTTCTGCGCGTTGATATCATCACAACAGAATTGTAAACATTAATTCCATCAGGGGGTTTATTTATCTCTTCAAATAGTCTCCTATGATGAACACCTAATTTCTACTCTTCATCAGTCACCTTCATTCATCTGACATCAATTTCATAGTTACCCCTGTTTCCAAAACAGCCCTCATACTTTAGATATTCTCACATAAAGGCATAAAAATGATTCTACTTATTTGAGTGAACACAGAGGAAGATTGAATAGTAGTGGAATTCCTGTGAACTAAATGAAAATGTGCACAAATTTATCAAAAATGCTGAAATCATGTTTGCCTTACGGTTATGATCATGATGATTGTATTCCTTATAGTTGATGTGTGCAATGCTTTGATGAATTTGTGGTCAGTGCCAAAGTTATAGCGATAACGCTGTAATGTGAAAATAAGACGTGCAACAAAATAAATTAAAGTGTGGATTGGGTAAAATATGAGTTTTTGGCAGGTTTTTCAATGCAACAAATAGTCAGCAGTTCAGATGAGCAATTTCATGTGGATATGTTTGACAGATAATGGAAGGGTTAGAAAATGTAAATAATTGGTTAGTGATTGTCATGATGATCGGATATACAGCTATTATAAAATGCAGCACTTTTCATTGAGGAATTCATTGTGATTTTGTCGTGGTAATGTTCATCGAATCAATTATCATAATCAGTTTATCAGTTGAGGAGACGTTTGACAGTATTTATGTACAAAATAAATCATTTAATTTTTTTCAACTTTCATAACTTACATTAAAACGAAACTGGATATTACATGTGGCTCCTTCCATACAGTTGAGTTGTATCTGTCAAAAGGAATATTGAATTTTCGATGAAAGTAAAATAACATACATGCACGCATTTTGACAGATGCCCTTAAGATTTTCTTCCGATTTTTCACCAAACGACCAAGTTTTCAAGAGTAGAATATCCAGAATATACTGTATCAGCAACTCCATCTTCTATTTAATTTCGGGAAACAGATAATCACAAAACATTATTACATGGATAATATGAAAATATGAATATTTAATCGTACACTTATTTCCCTTACTCTCAGCTCTTTAATAATAAGTATACATTCATGAGCACTTCTCGGTCGTTCGAAGGTAGTTTGACATCGTCGAATCATGCACCATAGTGAGTAGTTATTAACCGTAGTATAGTCACAATTATTATGCATTGTTTTTCTGTCTACTCACAAGTCAATCTATCCACAATTATATCTGCCTCTGTCCATGACCAACTATTCATACATCTATCTATCTATTGTTCCATCTCTCTATATGAAATGAATCCATTCAGTTCATTGTACGGATGCAATCAAGGTAATAATACGCCGAATAGAATCACCAAATAAAATCGTAGAAAATTATGTTGTGTTTAGAAAATTTCTAAACTCACTTCTCTCTTTTCCAGCGTTTAGTCAACACAATCCAATACACTCTCTGGCATTTATAAGCGCATTCGTCAATTACGTCAGAAGATATATTTAATACTGTATTACTGAACTTTGGACCAAATAGCAATGAAAAAATCTACGCATCACAACTTACTCCAGAATTCAATTCTAAATACACTGAACTTAAACAAAGAACACATGAAAATACCTGGAAATGAGAAAGATGAACTCTATTTTTATTTATATAAGATCAAATATTATGTAACAGAATGTAGATAGCAGATAGAAAATTCATTTTGATAATTTTCATACAGTTTTGATTTTTTTCAGTCGCATAAGTGGTCCTAATCATAAGTCCCTATACATCATGAAAAATATTTGTTACAATTTTTGTCTACTAATGAGTGGAGGAGCTTATCAAACATCCAATCACTGAACATTTATCAGCATGGCTTACGGTGTGGATGCTGAACGACATGTTGCTAGATGACGGATTAGATTCCATATCAAACCACACAAGTAGAAAGGAGCTTAGATTCGATAGATCCAAGCCACAAATTTATAAATACTTGTGAGATTTTGAGAGTTTTATTGACACATTTCAGGGGCTATAAAGATATAATGGATCACCGGTATACATCATAGTTCATCTGAACCGACATCGGGGCGTGAAGAGTACAAGCAAAGTGAAGTGCTCTGGTGAAGGCGAATGAGCCGAATGTCCCACTCTAAAGCATAACAACTTATTTATAGTGTGCTAATGATAGGCTCTGTATGTCAGAACTGAGTTAGCACAATCACCTTCCTACTGTCGATACCATCATCGGATAATTCACAAATATATATCATTGAATGATTATATAAGTAGGTGGCAAGCAATGCCCAAGTATACGTGCGCATACTTTTCGAACTTGCTAAAATTACAAAATCTATGTGAGGCTTACAAACAGTACAATTTGTTAGAATGAGATAAGACGTTAGATTTTGGAATTACACCACTTCATCGTAGTTGGATGTTTTCAGTCGAATTTCATCAAACAAGTAATAAAGTCATCGGATAAAATCAAAATTTGTTACTTAATTTTTGAAAACATTCATTCAAAAATATTCAAATATTCATGTTTTTATTTCAAAAGTACAGTTTCGACATATCATCTTTGGCATACTCAAGAGGACTAATAATCTTTCTCAACCGATCTGATGTTACAAATATCATCAAATCCTGCCATTTGTTTCAATTACAACTAATCTTTTACACCCATACAAAATGCCTTGCGAAGCAAGTGCTTAGCTCGTCCCGTATTCGGTGATATTTAGTCCGAAACCAGCCGATCGCCTGATAAGATGGGTGAATGAAATACTTCTAGAGACAAACGATTACCACTTAAGTCCCCCATACTTAACTTATCTTTCAACAAACAATTTATTAGGCCATTTATTACGTGTGTGTAAAATGTATACTCTGGGTCATCTGTTTTCATTGGAAAGTGAAATAGTTTATGGAAATAAAGCAAGACTCAATATGATTTGTCAGGAGTCAAATTATTTTTAATGAGTGATCGGTTAGGTGCTGCTTACATGGCTTTCAGTATTTATGATAAGAAGATTAAGACTCTGAACTCTCATGAACTGGCGGCTATACATCTCGTTTAAAATTCATTTCGATCCTGCTGCAAATAATGTTAATTTATAAATCCGATGCTCAAAGACAAGTATGTCCACGTACACAAATTAACAGCCGTGACTCATAGAAATATCCAAACGTTTAACTTTTCAGTGTCGAAAATCAATAAATTTAAAGAAACTGTAAGTGAAATAAACCAAATATAAGTAAAATAATAGTAATCAAAGCCATAGAAAGTAAGGGCAATGTTCACAATAATGATCCATTGTACGTTAGTTACTCTGAGTTGTTTATATGTCGTATTCTTTTTAAATTGATGACCTTATATTCATGGGGTTGATTATGTCTGCCACAGCATTTGACATTCACTTCACGCAGTGTCCTACCCTTCATCTATATTGTTAAACATGTTGAAATTGTTTCTATAAAACACTTTCGAATTCAAATTTTTAATAATAGTTCCTTATTAACGAGATCGATAGTCGAAATACATACGAGGTAAAATAAACTTATATTCCACCACCATTGCATCTACTTGGATCGTGGGTCACAGAGTCCTGACTGCTTAGAAGTGTGTGACAAAATGTTTCATTTGTTCACGGTTGAGGATAAACGGAAGTAGGACTCTACTACCTGGTTAACACTTCACAGTGCCGGTAATGTCATCATTTTTCCATATAAATCACCAATATATTACGGGTTTTTTCAAAGCAAGGGCACAAATATTGAAGACATGAATTGAAGAGCTTCTGGGTCAAATACAATAAGTGAGGCATTGAATTACGTTCTGTGTGTCGCAGTCCGAATAGTGAATTACAGTGATTTCACTTTATGACCACAAGCCCGTGTTGTTGAATTGCGAATGCCTGAAGGTAGATGACATTTATGTACCCCCCTTGACGTTCAGTGACGTAGAATTGAGACATAAAAATACACTCTCTGAATACAAACTGCTGAAAACGAAAACTGTGTAAGTTTTATCCTAGCCTATTGGAGGTCTCACCATATTTAACCAACATAACTCATCCGTATTGGACGTTGTCCAAAAGCAGGGCAATGATTTCAGTCATATAGTTTTTTTCAAACCTTTAGCATTGAGCAATCAGGTGTCCATCTAGTTCAAGGTTATTGCTCAACGGTCTCTCTAGGGCACTTATCTCCACTTCTTAGAACATGAAAGAAAAGATGAAAAAGATTAATTCCATTATCATTTCTGAAAACTGGGATTTCGACTCTGCAACATAGGAAAAAGAAGCATGTAATCATTCAAGACAGTTATATTAACGCATCGCACTGTAATCACTGGATGAATTAGTAGTTTGGTAGTAAACTAAAATGAAAGAAAATATTTTCGAAAGTTAACCACAAGCTTATAACAGCAAAGGACATTGAATACTACAGGTCCTTGGGCTCTTTAAACAGTAAAATCAAAATGAGCAGCCTAATCCAAAACTAAAATCCTTAGACAAACGGCATAACAGATCGCTGCAATATTGATCACGAAATATTCTTCATATTGTATTTGTTGTTATACTAGAGGAGTAATTAAAACGACTCATAGACAAATGCGGAATTGTATAACACTTAGACAGCATGTATCAAAAAAGAAGTGCACAGCAAACGTGCTTATCGGAAGTGGGTGATGGATAGTGTTGTTAAATGAATGAAAATCAATGTATGTTGTTCACGAGGACTTTGACAAGGCTTTTGATAACCTACCTAACAAGAGACATCTTTTCATTTTGGCTACTTCATTCAAGCTATGTACGAAGTTAGCGAAACTTTGCTTTTTGGAAAGACCTAGGAAGTTTGTCACTTGTCAAGATTTTGTAAATTGTACATAGTTGCTCCAGCATCAGAACAACAATTTTTGGTTATTTTTTAACTCAGTGATTATATTTAAGAGTATCACCTGACAAGAAGATGAGATTGAAAACTTATTGTTACCTCGTGATTCGCGGTTACAAGCTTTTCTTATATGTACATTGTTAGAAGTCGATTGTTTCTCGTAAAAACGACAAGTTTAAATATAATTTTCACCGTGCAAAGCTGCTGAAATGTTACTGATCATTTTCGAAAATTGCTTTGCCATCAAAGTTACGGAAACTGAGTGAGATTTGACATATACGTAACTGCATCCGGACTAATATCTAGAAAATAGTTTTTTGATCGGTAATACAGGTTTACTAGATTTGTGTACTGTCATTCTGACAATGTGATCTTCAGTTTTCATCTGATGGATGCTAGCTCCTTTAAATTTCGCATGTCTTCGATTTTCTAATGTGCCATTCTGTGTTTCTTCATCGGTAAATGTTTTTGACCGCACTTGACGTTTAAAATATGTTATTGAGGTGTGCCAATCTACTAATTTTAATGACTTTCCTGATTTTTAACTGAATTGTCAAGTCAGAACTTCTTTCGCGTTAGCAATTCTACACTTTCTACGCAGTCAACCTAAGTTCAGCTCAAGGAAATGTGTTATGTAATATCGAGGGATCGTCTGTTGGTTTTGTTTTAAGCTATTAGACACCTATTCGGCTTATTTTCTGTTCTGGTTAGCTAACATTTCGCTGTCAGTTAAACATGAATCTTTCGACTATCAACTTTATATAATCACTTTCAATCGATTAACTATTTGATGTTACATCTGTGTTAAACAAAGCTTAATCATTTTCACTATTTTCGTCGATTTTATTTTTCGCCAATTTCAGGTTACTTATGATATTTTGGTGATATTCACTACAATTAAATAAATTTGTAAATAAATCATTCGATCTTATATTTGGTAATCATTCCTGTGATTTTTAGTCAAACTTGCTTTGAATTCAATCAGTGTAACTTTTATTTTATTTAGTTAAATACCGGATGTCGTTATTATGAGTGTCTGACCTTGCTATTACTTTATTCACACTTTCTTCAGATTAATGAAGCTGTTTCAATGTTCCTAATTCTTATTTCCACAGTTTAATTTGAAAATCAATGTAATCTAATCCATCAATGATAAACTGATATTAGTTTTGACATAGATCATTACACCAGTCCGCAACTACGAATCCTTACGTAGAACTTTCGGTTTCGTACGATAACCTTCGAAATGTAGATTACTGTGACGAAACTGAACGTTTTAAATTTTGTGATTCAATTATTTCATGATCTTGCACAACACTCGATTCATCTCATGCGGTTGATTTCAAATGACCTAATTGTCTAGAGGTCAGGTGTTGAAGCAATAAAAGGATAGTCATCTGTCAATAGAGTATGATTCAACCTGCAGGGCTCAAGTCGTCAACTGGAATTACACTCAACACATTGCATGAAATAGTGTAGTATTTTACCCGTGGCAATAATATATTCTATATATAAACCAAACATCTCGTGAAGGGATCAACATTATCCATGAATAATCGTCCATCATTT